CCTGCTGAATAATGCAGACAAGCATGTACATCAGGATACTCTCCCCCCCGCATCAGACCATATTGCCTAATAAGTTAAATGTGTTGGAGCCGACTAGTAAGCTAAGCTGACTGGCTGCCTATAGCCATGCTGAACGAGGAGTGACTAAGTGTCCTCTACAAACGAATATTATGTCTGAATTCTTGTGGGGTGGCAACAGTAACTGTCCCAATAATGTGTTCACATGACATCATCTCCTAGTGTTTGCTTCTTTAAAAATGCACCAGAGGTTTTGGTGCAATTCATCAAATTTGTTCAAGTTTTTCAGAATAACTCATTGAGGGTGCCCACCCGAGTCTCACCTCTTTGTGGGGGAAACTCAGAAAAGCATGGATTGAATCAGCAATGGGCCCCAGATGTGAAGTTCAGATACAGCCTCACACAAGTACAGTTTAGGAGGTAGTGGTGTGGAGATCTGTCTTGCATTTCAGTTCTGGTTCTTCTGTAGCTAGAATAGATCTCTAAACAAAATTTGGCATAGTCTGGGGAAATGTCTGAGAACAGCGTACAATATGCTGGTTTCTGGCTTGCTCCCTCCCAAAGCACCTCTCAGCAAGCCTTTCCTGATTGAACAAACTCCCATTGGTTCAGGATCTTCACCTGGCCTGCCCACCTGTTCAAGAGCTTCCATTCTGGGGGCATCCATCTATGTCCTTCCTGCTCCCACTTCACATGGATATCCCTCTTTGAGTCCTGGCCTTTTCCTTGGGCATGCTGAAGAGGTTAATCCTTGTCCTTCCACATCTGTTCCTCTTCCTTTTCTCGGTCCCTCTTGCTGGGATCCCCTTCCAACCCTTCTTCTGGAGAGAGGTTGCATCTGCTTCTCCCTCATCTCACCCTGCCAACAGCTGGTACAGATCAAATCTGCCAGGCCTTCAAGGTGTCCATCCGGCACCAGTTACAATTTAGGCTTCCCTAAGCAGCCCTGGCCCAAATGAATCACCCCCGTACTTCAGTCCCATTCAGCATTTCAAACTCATGACAATCAGGGAGCTAATAAGCTCTGTGTAAACAATTATATTATTTTTGAGTTCGTCCAGACCAGGGGTGGGCAAAATACAACACACAGGCTGAATCCGGCCCACGAAGGGGCTTTGTCCAGCCTGGTGCAGGTCCCACCTGGCCGAGGCGCTGCCTGCCACCCCCTGGGCATGCAGCAGGGATGGGGCGGCTCCGTGGTGGGACTGCCTTTCTAGGCAGCCCAGGCTGCTGCCACTGGCCCCAGCCTCACGGTACAGGCGGGGACCAGCGTGCACAGCCCCAACCCCACGCTGGCTCCAGGTTCACCTGTCTGGGCTGAGCAGCAGCAGCACGGGACAAATTGCTGCTCAGTGCAGGGCAAAAGTGGCTTCTCCCCTGCCCCCTACCCCTTGCCGGCTCTACTTTAATAGTTTAATAGTGGACTGGCTGATTTCCGTGCACTAAACCATCTCTTGTAGGACTAGAACCCCCAAATTCTATAGGAGGCTATAGACAATGTCAGACGTTCTTTCTGTTAACTTTATCAGATTCTTCATGAAGGCTGTTGAATACTTTGCAAACTGTGGTTTTCCCTATGGATCATAGGGCAGCCAAGTCTACCCCTTCTCCTTCTCTTTGAGAAGATGATCTTGTAGTAATTGAATGTAGTGAACTGCCTGGAATTTTCTTTCCCAGGGTTTTTTAGTCTGGAATTGTGTTTGTCTCTCCATATGCTCATAAAAATGTGCCCCTTATTTTATTTTCATGTGCATCTTGGAGAAGGGGAGAGAGAGCAAGTTGAGCAGTAAATCATGCGTGCATAGTAACTGCATGATATCTGTGTAAGGAAGAATCATCCGTCTACCTCTGTTGTTGCGAGATAGTCGTCATCGGGGCTTATCAGGTCACGAGTGCAAGAGACTGGAGTCCCGTATTGTGCAACGTACACACTGGTTTGTTTTTTTAAAAAAAAGAGCAAATGAAAACAAGCAAAGCCTCCGTGAAAAGGTGGGGGGGGGGGTAGTTATTTCGAACAGATCTTGGATTTGGACAGTTCTCAGCACAGATGGGATGAGGTATGTGTGAGGGCTTTTTCTACCCCCCTCCATTGTGTCTTGAAAGAAAGAAACTCCTTCTTCCTCTTCCACCCTGTCATGCCCCTCTGCTGGTCCTGCGATTCCTTTCAGTGCCTGCGGTGATTTATTATCTGGGCGAGGTATCCGTCCATTGGTGAATCTGGAGCTTCCCTGTGAAGTTTCCATCAGACCGTCGCTGAGCCAGTTTGTTTTTCAGGCTGGAATGTGGACATGCTCTGTTAATTTGCCAGCTGGATTGTCATGATGCTGGCTCACAAGCTATTTTGTTTTTGGGGTTTCTTTTTTTTTCATTTTCTTTCTTTCTTTTCTTTTCCCTCCTCTGCCCCTCTCACTTACGGAAAAGAGGTTCAGATTTTCCAGGTTTCTTGAAAGGGGAGAAAGAGCAGGGAATAACCACACCTCGTACAGTAAGTGCTTTTCCTATTCTCTGCGGTGTGGAAACTCAGTGGAATATCGGTGTTTCCAATATGCCTCTTTTGTGAGCATAATTACAGTACCACAGGGAGCAACCTAACTCTCCACCAGTGGAAGGCAGTTTTCTAGCGAAGCGTCCAGTGCATTCGAGAGCATTATTTTTATTCTCTTTGCGCTTTCCGCTATTCTTGTTCTATCCAGCAACTCCCAAGCCGTCTGCTTTTTGCGCTAGCCAACGGATGCGGATGGAAAGTGGGTGGATCCAAGCTGTTCCTAGACATAATGGCTTAGTGCTGTTTCCAAGTGTCAGTGGTTGGCCAGTTAGCTCTTACTCGCTACCTTAACGAAAGGCAAGGGCATGACACATCCACAGTGTAGTCCTCGGTGACTCAGTGGACCGTGCGTTGCAGCCAGTCTTCCTAGCAGTTTCTTCTCTCGTCAAGATGTGCACCCTGAACTCCCTTAGCTCAGCTGAGTCTGCTCTTCCTACATTTGTGTCTCCTTGGCCAGGGTTGACGTTTCAGCGAGGAAGGACTATGGTAACTTGGGCTTCTGGGAAACCTTAGCAGTAGAACCTGCTTGGAAGTTATTTCTCCTGGCAACAGGCTCAATCCTTAACCCTTCATCTGAGCTTTACTAACTAGCTGACTACAGCTGATATCTTAGAGCTCCCGTCAGAGATCATTTGGACCATTGAAAAGTCGACCTCTTTTAGAGCTACCTCTCTCCTTCCACTCTAGATTTGTCCAAGTTGTACAGTTTGTAAGCTTCACACAGCTGAAGATGCAAACATGAGCAAACGCTATATGGTATTTTTCCCTTTTTTAGGTTCCAAAAACTGTTTCTCTCTCACACTTGTGAGCCAGTCTTGATGGGGGGGAAATGGGGGTCTGATCAAATGAAAATTATCGTGGAAAAAAGCCGTGTTCTTAAACACTTTATTTTTTTTCTAGGAAAGCTAAATGTTTTTAGCTGAAAAATAAAAATGTTCAGTTTTTTCATTAAAAAAAAAATAAAAAATTGGCAGTCAAACTTGGTCAGCTCACACTCAATTTTAAAACTCGTCAAACATGGCATTTCTGTTTTACCCAGACCATACACCGGCACCACTTGCCAAGCCCTCAAAACAATTTCTGGACTGTTGGCCAAATTGTTTAAAATCCCGCATTAATGTTTTACAGGGGTGCACACATGATGCTAAACAAATGAGGTTTCTAAAGTGCATTGCATGCTAATTAGACCCTGCAGATAAATCTGGAGCAATTACCTGCCATTATTGGTGCAGTTATAGGCCTACAACTAGCTCCAGGTCTAGTGATGCCATCTGCAGTTGATTTCATTGAATTTGTTTCAGGCACCTCATGCTGCAGCGCTTGAAACTCGGCATCTGTCTGCAGAAGAAAAGGCTGGATTGTAACTCTTTTTGTGCCCTCTGTTTCTTCAGAATGTGAACATTTCCTGGAGGATGGGCTGAGCGGAGTCTGCACCTCATCGCAGGGTATCCTTAAAAGAGAATCCGGGAGCGAGTCTGAATTCTTCTCCTTGCCTGGGGATGGGATGGATGACATAGTCTTTGGAAAGGTAAGCTGACAGCACGAGGCCTGGTTCAAACTCCAAGAGCTGGTCCTACAAATGCCACAGAGAAACAACTCCCATTGATATCAGAAGGAAATGGCCTCCTGTTTCGATACAGCGATAAGAGGGACATGTTTGTGGTTATTTTCTACAAGGTGTTATTTTTTCAGAGACTGTAATCCCTCCTGCATTGAAGAGAAGATTTCTATTTTAGCAGTCTGTAGATAGATCAGCCACAAAGGGCAGAACTGACAAAACCACACTTTCTTGTAGGGCCTCTGATAAGGGCTGCACAAAGGCTTTAAAATTTGGAGGTAGTCGGTGTTTCTCAAAGACATTTTCTCCTGCAGACAGGGACCCCCTGGAAAACACGTTGCTATCCATTGGCATCCTCTGCATTGTAGACTGTAGGAGAACCAGTGCGAGCCTGCTACCAGGAAAAAAAACCCCTGATTCTTCAGCCCAATTCTGCTGTACAGAGTAGCACAGTTTTGTTTCCTAAGGTAGCAAAATATTAAGCAGTAATACTTCTAGGGCCTTGCATTTTGAGAGAGAAACTGAAGAAAATGTTTTTACACTTGCTAAGGATAGCAGAAAAGTGGAAAAAAAACCAAACCCTACCCCTTTTCACTGTTCTCATCCATCTACATGTAGTATCATGCTTTGCATTGCTTACTGATGATAAGGAAAGTCAAAATTGAGATTTGGAACCAGGCTTTTAAATTTACTTCAGACTTCGTCGTAAGCCTGTCGCTCTCTGTACAAGTACAGCTTAGACCTGTCTTAATGGTAATTGATTTCTCCTCCTTGAATGTCCATACAGTCTGAGAATAAAATTAGGGCAACAAATAGTTGAAAAAACAGCTGGAAAAAAATGGTGCTCCATAATAATGGGGTCACTTGATTCCTGTGAACAATCATCATAAGCCTTGGGACAGGCTCTGGGTGTGGTTCCTGCACATCTTGTCCAAGCATAATAGGGCATGTAGTCATCTCATGCTTACCTGGGGCATAGACATGTTTTTCCTTTAGAAAATGGAATTGGGCATGGTTTCCATGCACACTTGCAGAGAAATGTGTTTGACAAACTGAATTTATCTTCAGTTAAATCAAGTCAGATGATGGTGAATGTTTTCCAGCAGGATGGGATAGACCACAGCCTGGACTTGGTGATCTCATGCGCTATAAATGAACTGGAAAGTCATCCGTAATGAACGTGGGAGGGCACAGAGCTTACCAGCCTCACCCTTTCCTATCTCACGTGCTCAGCACTGGGGGAGCCCTTGCCTCTGAGAATGCTGCAGGGCTTTTATCCTGGCCAGGCAAAGTAAAGCATGTCTTCCCATTTGTACAAGTTACAGAATCAGTCTTTGTTTATTATAAGTCTGATTCTAAGGAGGGTAGTTGGGAGAAAGCAAAGGGGAGCATATATTAAATTATATATGGGCCAGAAGTTTTGCTTTTCCATCTTTTTAGAGGGAGAGAACATTTCCCAACATAGAAACAGCAAAATGGAGGTCTGTAAAGGAAGTCCACGTGCCAAGGTTGTCCCTGGGGAAGAAATGTCAAGGTGCAGGATGCGTGATTCTTCCATGGCCCCATTTCAGTTACAGGACAGATTGACAAAACTGTTTTATTTGAAAAATGAAAAGCTCTTATCAACTCTGTGTTCTCTGACAGCAGAGAGAAGGATAATTCTTGACGCATTCAGGGATATAGTTTGGAAGGTTATGCAAAGCTAAAACATGCAGGTGATTTCAGCCTTCCTGGCACTTTCATCTTTCTTCACATTACTAATCTTCTATCTTTAACAGGTTAGTTCCCTGTCTCTGTTCCCCTCCTGACCCCTACTTCCTGCAGTTGTGCATCCATTCATTATATAATTGTCAATACCAAATTAGCTTAATTAGGGGTTTCATTTGATTTTTTTTTTTTTCCTATGGGCTCAGTTAGACCTGGCAAAATCAGCTTAAAAAAGCAAGGAACACTGAACTCGATCTGATGGACCCTGGGATTTTTGTTTGGTTTTCACAGACACTGGTACAAACCCATTTTTGTTTGAAAGTAAGCTTGCAAAGAGGAAACTGCTGCTGGTACTTATGCAAATATGTATTTCAGACAAATGCTTATGAAATACGTGTATTTAGCATAATCATAGATGCTGGCTGTGTTTGAACGGACATCTTGAAATTTCTTGTGGGTTTGGAAGGCATTCAGTTCCAAAGCATGGCCAGTGTCATATAACTGAGGTGACCAAGCACATAGCAAACTGTGAACAGGCTGTAATGTTCACATTGACCAATTTATCAAGCAGTTCAAAACAACAAGCATGTTTGCAAAGATCAAAATCTGCCAGCTTATCTGGCTTTTTCACTGACATTTGCTGAATAAATCACAAGCAGCTTTCTCAGTTCTAGTCCCAATACTGATAAGATGGACTTTGTAAACCCAAAAAACTAGTCTGTTCAAGGAAGAAGAGCTATTGGACTAAAAATATTACCTATGCACTTTAGGTCACGTGCATTGATGTTTGCATTACTTAATGTGTAGGACAGGCAGTCAAAACTTAGGGGAAAATGAGAGAGATAGAGAAACTAGGCTGTCTAAAAAATAAATGTAGAGATAATATGAAAAAGAACAACAGTGGAAAACCCACTGAATAAATAGTGATACTGCTGTAGGATACCTATGTACAGTACCATGTTTACTTAAATCCAAGACAAGGTTTTGGCCCCCCCATTTAACATGGGGCAGGGGCAAGGGACAGGGCATTTGACTCCCTCTGCCCCCTGCCCCTATCCCACTGTTTCTCCAACTGCAGCAATGGGGGAGGGCATGAATTCAAGACAACCCTCCAATAATTAGATTCTCAACATGGAAAATTATAACAAATGTATACATGTTCCATGTCTAGAATCTAATTACTGGGGGGGGAGGGGGCATCTTAAATTTCACCTGGCATGCTGCAATTCGACCCATCCCTGCTGATTATTGTTGTTATAAAAGTTCCCATTTCCCCCTTGGGTGGAGTTACACTTCAACTGTCTGTTGCTGCAGCTGTTAGCTGCAGAGAACACCTACTCCCATTAACAGAGGAGTTATGAAGAGTGAAGTGAGTGATGGGTCTGCTCTAGGAAATCCAATAGTACTTATGAAATATATTTAGGAAACTGTAGGCAGATCAAGCCTGTACCTATATTGAGCTTCATCGGGAATTCTTGCCACCTCCACAGAATTGCTAAAATTTCATCCATTTTAAGCCCTCCTTCTGTTTAGGGACCCTAGAGAATTGAGGAGCACCAGGGTCTGCAGGTGCCTGAGATGGGACCTGATGATAGGCATGTACGTTCTCATTACTAGGTACTGTGCCATATTGTTCTGAACAGCACAGACTGAGTTGAGCATCTTGTACCAAAGAGAGGAGAGCCCCACAATCATTAATACCCTGCTTAGACACTTCCTTCAGATACTTTTGGGGCAGCTGCTGGAATCCAAGTCACTTACAGCCGAGTTCCAAGATTTCAGCAGAATTTCATGCTCTGTTTCAGTGTTTATTCCCATGTCTAGTCATCCTCCTGGTTCCCTAAAGAGCTATCTGTTTAGTGGACAGGCTTTGCCACACCCTCTTCTCGATGATTAATGCTTTGTACGGTCATTTCCTGTGATGAGTTGCGTAGCACTGCCTCCCTGGGGCATAGCTAGTAACATTCACTCTGCTTAGCTTTTAGGTTTAAGATTCATATTCTCTGCTAAACTTCTGATGTTGCAGATACTCTAAAGCAGATCTATATCTCTGAAAACCATGGGTTTTGCCTGACACTGTCGTCTTTTACTTTGTGAGCTACATCACCCTTACCAATTAAGCTATGATGTATTTTGTGCAGCTGGAGAAAAGAGAAGCTCTATGGATTCACATATATAAATTGTAGGTGGATAAGGAGAGGAGGATATAAAGAGATAAATAATTATTTTCATGAGTAAATAGTGTATCCTCCACTATCCACAATGCAAAAATGATTCAGGATTTGCCTAATGATCTCTTAATTAGTGCTTGCGTGGTTACACACATTGGTTCCTTCATCTTTGTCCTCCCCAGAAACTTTTGCACACCCCTTTCTAATAGCATGAAAGCAACCAATAGTGGTGGTGTTAGCTTGACACTCCAATGGGACTCCAAGCTATAATGACACTCCAAGCTGTAGGCATATAACACCCCCTTGTGACAACACCTTCTCCAGTTGCTTGTACTTTTAAGGAATTTTATTATCTAATCTCTTTTCCTTAAAAATTTCCAAGGAACTAGCATATGGATGTGAATGTAATGATCATCAGCAGTGCTTAAGGACAATTCTCTCTCACTCATGCAGGAGGATCTCATTAGCTAGAAAAAATAGCAGCTATGAATTGTGGACCAGGCACTATAGTGGGGATTCGTACTAGAGGTTATAGGATATATTAACATATATATTTAGTTGTACAGTAATGGAAGAATTGCTAAGCTTAAAAATAACCCTATGCAGTGATGCTGATGAGTGGTTTATGACTAGCAGGACTTGTGATGTGAAGAGGCTGCGGTCTTGTGTTGTGAGTTTTGCTTTCAGCATTTTGGTCATTACTTAGGTGAGATCTCCAAGCAGGGTAAAAAATGAGTTTTCTTAAGGAGTTTTTAATCACTGATTTTTTTCTTAACGCAGTTTTTACTGGTTTTATAATTAACTAGGTAAATTAGGGAGAAGAGACATAGTAGGTCACATTGAGCATTTTTACATGTGCTGAAGATTTGGGGGGGAGGAGTCCTTTAATTAGAACAGTTCCGAGAGCTGCTGTAATTAAAGCACCCACAATGTCTTGTGTACAGGCAGTCCTTGACTCGCAACGCTTTGAGTTACAAAGTTTTGCACTTAAAGGGCTTATAAATTGACACCCTGTTTCAACTTTCTGACGTCAATTTTGACCTTACAACGCTTGATCCGACGCCACGCCACAGGCATCACCCATCTCCCTGG